GAAGGATCCTTAAGTAGGGGCTGAATAAATTAACCGACTTCGTATTACATGAATCTCACAACTTTTTAAGGTAGAAGAACTGAGTTGCGAGACTTGGTCTTTTTTACAAGGTTTGTTTTTGATGACATCTTATTTCTTTTTGTAGATAGTCCTACTTTTTTCCTTTCTAGTACCATCTGCTTCTTGAATACCAACTACGGATTTTCGGGCAATTAATACTTTGCAGGATTTTGGTACAACTTCATAAGACATGTCCCATTCTTTCTTTTTCATTCCGTTGACCATTTTACAAGTTACCTTTGTACATAATTGTATATAGGTACATATCTACATCTATTATACCATTATATTATACATAATATACAGGTACACTGATTTATTCACTGTAAAATGTAACTTTGTAATCCTATATAAATATATATATTTATGCAGTTGGTGTATCTAGAAAACTGGACCGAAATTACAAAATATTTTAGTTTTTCCTTGATATATACACTAAAAACTAATTGTATTTTAAATTAGAAGCTTCTACGTCTGCTAAAAGTGCCTTGGAGTTTTGATGATCGGTCAGTCAGTGAGTGACAAAATTAAGAAACTTTGACTAGTTATAATTCTTAAACTACTAGTTCAAATTGAATGAAATTTGAATTATACTGTCAACATTTGGTTTTGTAAATTGACTTTTTCTCGCAATGCCAGTGAATCAAGACGATCAGAAGGAACTCCGAACTTTTCGTATTACTATTGGCTATCACTAATCAGTGCAGTGCTTGGAACACTAAGCGCTGTAAACCAAACATCCTGCATTAATCATTTATACTACATAATGCACTGCAGACAGGAGGAAAAGAGAGCTTCAAAGATCAATGTTCTCCTTTACCGCATGGGTCAGTAGTTCATGCGTGCAAAGATGGTAGTGATAGCTTACTGAAATTCCCTCGGACAGTCTTATTGAGAGACCAAAATGCATGGATTCATAAACGACCGGTTGAGGTCGTTTCACATGATATATTTGTTTTGTCAAGGCGATAACTTATAGCTACAATTGAATCCAATATGTGGCGTTGTAATCAATTTATTAGTTAGGGATCAATATTCACAATTTATATTCGTGTACCTAATGCAAAAAAAAATTCTGGGTCCGAACCCTATAGGTGGCGATGTGTTCGTTATTAATATTTTTTTATATTAACACTGTTACAATTCCGGAGTGGAACACATCGCGCCACCTAACGGAATAGGCCAAACAACAAGCTAGTATGTGTATAAAATATTTACAATGTCTATAAACTAAAAATTTACGAGTAAAATAGAATAGAATAATTTTTATTTAATATAGATTACATGTAATTCTTACTGAAAGTATTTTTTTTACTTTTACCACCGGTTCGGAAAAAAAAACTTCTATCCTGGGAAGAACCAGCAAGAAACCCAGCGGGACTTAGGACTATAATAATATTTGACAGATTTCATAGCGGCGAAGTTAATTTGTTCGGAAAATGTAAAGGTTATTGTATCTTTCTGCACTATTAGCTATGTTTTATATAAAATAACCAAACCACAGATATTCATACAAGTAGAAAAGTTAAAAAAAAAGTTGAAAATTAAAGAGCAACCCACTGACGCATTGTTTTGTGTATTAATTTAATACTCTAGAAAGCGATAAACTTTTATTGAAATACGAACTTCTCAATTAAATCACACTGTGTAATAAAACACTTTACCTCAGTGTCAACTAGCGACATCTGGTGAGCAGAAAATTATTAGCCCTCATTTACAATACGCGTATATTATTTTATGCAAATAATATGAAACACTTGGAAACAGGATGGTAACGATCACTTTATTCCAAATTCTAATTCTAATTCAAATTGTTTATTGCATGTCACATTACATTCTCAAGGGTTATTATCAATCATGCACTCTTTAGCAGTATAATAACCCTTAATTAAACAAATTTTCCTTACTAATTTTTTTACCTTTATGATAGATACATAGGCTGCACTAAAAGTATCGGGAATGGAATATTTCCACTGTTCCTGTCATATTAAAATCTTTTTAATTGAAAAGTCCTTGGTTTTAAAAATCAAATACTATTTATTTATTTAAAAAAAGATTCTCGGTCTTGCCACAAGGTTTTGTCAAACTTGTTTAGTCGTTGAGAAAATGGAAAGGTCGTCCAAAAACTGCAGTCACCCAAGAAAAAGTTGATGCTGTGCGTAAGCTGATTGAGGAAGACGACATGTGACATACCGCGAAATTCAGGCAACTTTAGACATTGGAATGAGTCAAATACAAGTAATCTTGCACAATTAGGTGTAAAAAAGTTGTTTTCCCGATGGATACCGCATTCGCTCTGTGAAGAGCAAAAAGCGGCTCGCGTTACTTGGTGTGTCAGAACTCTCGAAAGATTCCACGCAGGATCCTCATATGCTGTATACAACATCGTATCAGGTGACGAATCCTGGATATATGCGTACAAACCCGAAACAAAAAACCAGTCATGAGTTTGGTTGTTCTAAAATGAGTTAAAGCCAACAATAATTGTTCGTTCACGGAGCGTTGCAAAAAAAATGGTGGCCACGTTAGTCTCCAAAACCGGCCATGTTACGACTATTCCTCCTCAGGGACAAAGAAAGGTTAATGCAGAATGGTATGCTAGCATTTGTTTGCCACAGGTCGTTTCTGAACTCCGTAAAGAGAACTGCAACCGCCGCATCATCCTCCATCACGACAATGCGAGTTCTCACACCGCACACAGAACAAAAGAGTTTTTAGAGCAAGAAAACATAGAATTATTAGACCATCCGCCGTACAGCCCCGACCTAAGCCCTAATGATTTCTATACTTTCCCTAAAATAAAGAATAAATTGCGTGGACAGAGATTTTCATCACCTTAAGAAGCTATGGACGTGGACCTGAAGAAGCCCTACAAAACGGCCATTTTAGAGACCCCCAACTTCCGAATGGAATGGTTGCTTCAATGATTGGTTCCATCGTATGGAAAAATGTGTCAAATTTCGCGGAGAATACTTCGAAAAGTAATAAATACATTTTTAAATAGTAATATTGTGTCACTTCCTTGATTCCCGAAATTTTAAGGCCTAAATGCAAAAAGTTCAAAAGTATGATACATCCATTATGTGTTTCATTCATTTATTAAATCATTATTTACAGCCTATTAAAGTCCATTGCTGATCATAGCTCCCCATAGAGTACCTCATAAGGAAGATATTTGCCATAGTTGCCACTCTTGGCAATCGCGTCGGCAACCGCAGCTTTTTTGCCAGTTGTTATTAATTGTAAGATGCTGCTGCACATCTTGTGTCCTTACGACACCCACGGGACGATATACACCCCTACCGCATGACATATAATTAAAGAAATACATTAGCTGTTAAGAAAACTTATTTACTGTTTAAGCTGCAGGAATATTAAAGTTATACAATATTTTTATCTATACGTAATATATATCAAAATTAAGAGAGCGTTACCATAGTAAGATTACTTCATTCAAGGCCATGCCAGCTTCTTTAAAGAGAAATGAAGCTAACTGACCAGTTCACAAACGTACAAATAAGTGGAACTTTCGAAAAAAAGATTCTCCTGCTCTATAGCCACATTAGATAGAGCTAATACACTCATATTCATAGAACTTAGACACAGTATACCTCAAACATTATTTCTTTATTGTGAGAGATCTTTCTAACTTGGACACTTTCATCGCTAACCAAGATAAATTTGAACCATGTTATTGTTCCTTAAGCAGTATCTATGTTTATTATCATAAATATCAAATTCGAGTAGCATATCGAAGAAGAGTTGACTTGGTATGTTTGTTTGTATTATACTGTCTTCATAAGAGTGATCAGACTAATGATTTGTTCCACTTTTCACGGTCAAGAGCGCTAGTGTTGCCAGTGTATTTTATATTATTATTTATTTGTTTGGGAGATTTAGATTTAGAAATAAGAGCGTCCTTTAATATATGTAACATATGTATATAAATTTATAAGTTTGCTATAATGAACCTTATTAATTTTTACAAGGAAACAAAATATTCAAAATAAGAGTAATTATATAACTATCACCTATCACTACAACCCATCATAATACAACATCACAAGTCCACTACTAAACATAGGTCTAAGCCATAGATTTCCACAAATTACGGCCCTGTGTCACCTGCATCCATCGACTACCTGCGTGTTTCATCTATCTTAACTCCATCTAGTGGTTGTAATAATTACGTAAATAAATTCTTATAAGTAAGCCTTTATACGCCCAACTTTGCGCTCCTCTCATTTATGAGAGGGTTTTAAAACAAGAAAGAATCGGCTGCACCGCCTTAAGGTGTTGGCGAACTTCATATGTACTCAATATTTTTTATGTCACAGACATGGGAGCTACCTCATAAAATTATCCGTAATCACCGAGGACGTGTTAAATTAAAACTTAATTGCAATTAACAATGTCAGTGTTGCCGGTGGGAATAGAGTTTTGAGTGCTATGAAATTTTATATAAGCCTTATTATGTGAACAATCTATTTATTATGTACGAGTATATATTACGCTTATAATGTTTATCATACCTAAAAAAATCATTTTAAAGTATAGTTTCATATTTTAATTCAGATTTTAAATTTTAAAATAATTTTGATATAGAGATGAAAGTTCTCTAAAACCATAAAATGTGTAATTATTTTACTAACAATAATTTTATATAAGTTTTTCAATACCAACGTTGCATGACATTGTTAGGTGATTTAACATTAAGAATCAACAAAAACATGGCAAAACATTAATATAATATAGAGGGAGATACATAAAGAGAAAAATATTTTGTTTATAGTCTTGTTATTGGAAGTTAATACATAATTATTATATCAGAAGTGTATCTATATCTGACAACACTAAATATACACTACGGTACATTCAGCTGCTAACGGCACGCACAACCGCCCGTTCCCTATCCACAGTGTTGGAGAAGGAAAAAAATAATGGCGGTGTCCTACACAGTTTCACGTATTTTAAAACGCGCGTCTTCCTATCTTTTTCAAAAAAGATACGAATCGACAATGGCTAGTTTAACGAAGGACGAAATATTAATTTTATTGAGACCACCTTTCACGAACTGGAGTAATATAATACGCGAGGCGGAGAAAGTCGTCGGCTATTCCACTTCTTTTATGAACTTAAGATGTTTACTAAGCGACGAGTTTGCAAATTTGGCGCTTTATTTAAGAAAATTGGTAAGTTTTTAAATTATATTCTACCACTTTTACAAAAAAACTACTAAAATTTACTGCTCAAAGGTTAAACAAGTATTTTTGATATGCTTACTATTATTATTTTGAGTACAATATTCAACGAAACGTAATTTTGTTAATAATTATATAAATTATTGTTCTAATTATAATTAGAAGAATATAAGTAATATAAGCTAATACAAAGGAACATTTATAACTGAAATTGACTTTTAATAAATAAATGTTGATAGATAGTTGAATAGATGTTGAATTTATCTAATTTTTATTTTAGATTTAAAACATTACATAGCGTAATTTTTTTCAATACATTGTTGTTATTATTGCTTTATATATTTATTTTGATAGAAGAATATTTAATTTGATCGAAGAAGGCAGATTAAGTAAGAATAGTTAGTAATAGAAAAGATAGTTTTTTTTAATTTAGAATGGAAAAAATGTACAAAACCTATTATCAATTTTAAAAGGAGAGCGAATAGGAATTGAAGTTTCCCTCATATTTTTTAGAGTATTTTTTAATAATTATAAAAATTCATACAACAATAATTTAGTATATTGTTGTATGAAAGGGGACAGAAAAAAGGGTAGGGAAAGCGTCTGGAAGACATCCTCTGTTTAATTCTAAACTTGTAGAGATTTTTTTTAAAATGCAATGTAATAAATATCGGCAACTTAAGATTGCGACTGTTCCGGTGCTGCGGAAATGCAGTCCCTCCGCTTTTTCTTAAAACATTTCAGGCAGCCGTGCTCGCCTGCGCATCTCCTGTTTACTGGTCATCTTTGGCGACAGCAACTGTTTTAACTTTGAAAACTAAATGTCTTTAAGTTAGGTTAAACTTAAAACATATTTGATGATTCAATAATATTAAATTGATACAGTTTTATATGTATTTGGTTGACCTCTATACTTCAATCGATACTCATACATGTTGCATTGATGAGAAAAAATATTTTCGTGTAATTTTTGTGTTTAGTTTATTTGACATATTTCCAGACAAAAATAAAACAGCTATATGGAAATAATGTATTACTTAAAACATTTTTAGATCAATTGCACATTTATAAATATCACATTACAGTGTCATATTATTTATGTTCCAAACCTAAAAATCGTAAATTTCACTAAGTCATAAAGTTAAAAAGTTATAGCCAATATACGTCCCACTACTGGGCAGACACTCATTTCTGAGAGGGAAGTCAAAAAATATTTAAAAAATTATATTTTAGAATTAGGCTAAGAATATTTATCTCTCATTATGCTAAAATATAATCAATATTATATTAAATACACTCTACACTATCCTAAGACACTATCGCATAACGTGGATTTCGTAAAAGGTAACTTAGGAAAATACTTAGAATATACGTTGACTTCGATAGATGGTAGATAAAAAACCCTTCGATCGGCAAAGAAACCAGCGTCAAAATTAAGAAAAAAGCCTTGTTAATGCAATCGGAAATTCGTCAGTCCAGTGTAAGGATTACACCGATCCTCCTTGCTACGAGTATGGTAATGTTATTGCGGGCTATAAAGAAAGAAGAAAATTAAATTATTATCGAGTGCGACATGTTTGCAGATGAATGGACGGTAATATTGTCGCAATGCCTGAAGTTTTGTGCGCGAGGAGAATGAATAATATATTGTCTTACATTAATATAATTGGTTTAACCGTTTTAATTAAAGTAAAAATAAATCTATATCTATACATACAAATAGGTGTCTGTTTGTAATGTCAAAATAAGAGCTTTTAATTAAATGCATATGAAAGTACGAGTATATACGGTACGAAAGGCTGGACCGATTTTGATGGGACTTTCACTGCCAGATAGCTGATGTTATAAGGAATAACATAGGCTACTTTTATTTTATAAAAAGAATTAGGGTTCCGCGTAAAACAATTAAAACCCATGAAATCCAATCGTAATAAATTACACGCGGGCGAAATCTCGGGGAAAAGCTAGTGAATAAATAAAATCATTATAGAAATTAAGATTATTAACACATACTGTCTCTTCTTCCTTCAATCTTTATAAGAATTCATCCTATGACAACCCAATTATAGGGCAACTTACCATTGCAAAAAAATTACTGATTATTAAATTTTATTTAATTAATAATTTATTAAAATATCTTATTGACATATGTACTAAAAATACATTCAAAAATGTATTCTTAATTATGTTTTGCCAAAAACATTTAATAATAAAGGTTTAGTTTATATATTTCTATAGTTTAGTTTAATGTTAATGTGACGTGAATGTGACGAAGTGAATAATGCTATATCAAAATTAGTGCATTGGTTTAACGTTAATAATCTGCATTTGAACGGAAATAAAACTAATTGTGTTAAATTTACAACAACGAATGTTCAAAATCTGAATACCAATGTGTTTTTAAATGGGGAGGAATTGAACCCTGTTGTATCCACTGTTTTTCTTGGCATCACTCTTGACACAAAGCTCCAGTGGGGCCCCCATATATCCAAATTAGCAAGCAGACTAAGTTCTGCAGCCTATGCTGTAAAAAATATTAGAGGTCTCACTAGTGTCGAGACAGCTAGATTAGTTTATTTTAGTTATTTTCATAGCATAATGTCTTATGGGATTTTGCTATGGGGAAATGCGGCTGATTCAGAAACTATTTTTGTTTTACAGAAGAGGGCCATTAGAGCTATTTACAATCTAAAACCGAGAGTCTCTTAGAGATAAATTTAAAGAAATTAATATATTAACTTTGGCCTCTCAGTATATTTACGAAAATTTAATGTATGTTCACAAAAACAAAGATAGTTTTAGTAAAAGAAGTGATATACATTCTGTAAACACTAGGAACAAACACAAGCTAGTGATACCAGTTTCTCGACTCCACAGAGTCAGTAATTCATTCTTGGGGCAATGTATACGCTATTACAACAAGGTCCCGGAAAGTGTACAGGTTCTCTCTATTACCAAGTTTAAATGTTTTATTAAGCTGAAACTGTATAAAAAGGGTTATTATAGTATAAATGAATACATGGTTGATAATAACCCCTGGGAATGAGGTGATCGCTTCCAAGCAGTTTCTAAAATAAATTTTGTAAATAGTTCGTAATCATTTATATTGTAAAATTTATTTTAAAAAAAAGTCCCGCTGGGTTTCTTGCTGGTTCTTCCCAGGACAGAGGGTTTTTTTCGAACTAGTGGTAAAGTAAAAAATGACTTTCAATAAGAATTACACATGTAATGTATATTGAATAAAAAATATTCTATTCTATTCTATTCTGTTTATATGCTATATAGTTTATATATTTTTATTTATTAATGTTAAAATAAGGTCTAAAATAGAAGCAATATAAACCAAACAAATATGCGACGAGCTTGTGTCTAATGTCATGAGTTCAGATTTTTTTTGTAAATCTAAGTATTACAAGCGAGCATATAGTCCACCTGATGCTAAGTGGATGCTGAGAACTAGAAATCTTTTACTTGTTCGCGATTAAAAATCATTTATAATGCAGATGCGTTTTTACTTCTGAGAACAAAGATGGAATATCTTATTACTAGTAAAAAGGAACTCCGATTTTCTTCACTTACTATATAAAGAATAGCAGAATTATGTTGTTATTATACGCTGGTATTCTATGAGAACTCTCCCCCGGTCGAGCCGAGATATTTGTTCATCAGGTACAATCCTGCTTTTTTTAGAATAAGGGTGACAATCGAGCTCACAGTCCACCTGATGGTCAGTGGATGCTGTGGTCCATAGACATCATCTACATTTATCCTCGATAAAGAACCAAAATGCAGATGCGTTGTCACATCTAAAGATTGAGATGGAATGCCTTGTTTTTTGTTAAAAGGGTCTCCGCTTCTCTACACACGCCATGCGAAAAACAGCAGCATTAAGCAGCTATTTTACGCTGGTATTATGTGAGAGCGTAGTCCTTCCGGCCAATCCGTCCAACTCTTGCTACAACCATATAGTATATTTGCACCATTGCTTCAGCATGACCCTAAATAATCCAATCTAATTTTATATTATTTATATGAATTTAATATTTTATCATAAATTTCAGGTTGGCAGTAATCATTTAGTTATGCAAACCGCAAAGAACGTGTTATATGGCGATTCCAAAAATTTACAACCGTGGGGTCTGATTATACTTTTGTTATCGAAATCTGTAAAAACCTACGGATCAGTTTCACAAACGAAGTTAATAGATGAACAGCAAAGGGCACTGGCGGAATTGATAGAATTAATGAGAACTGGTCATTTGATTCATCGCGGCATTGTTAATGTTCCATTTGCAAAACGATCTAATAACACAGAATCTGCCATTTTTGGTAACAAAATTGCCATTCTTCTAGGTGATTATCTTTTAGTTACGGCTAATACAATGTTGGCAGGGCTTAAAAATGCTGATGTTCTTTACATTGTATCATCAGGCTTGAAAGATTTATCCGAAGGGGAATTCTTTGGGGACAGGGATGAACAGAACATGCCATTACCAGGGAAGCCTAAAGCTATGACTGACGATATTATAACTTTTGATACTATATCCTTAGCAGCTGATGATGTATTAGGAAAACCCAGAAAAGAATGGACAGCTCGAACTGTTTTTAATGGGGTTAGTTTGCTTGGTAGAGCTTGTCAATCAGCTATGCTTATAGCTAAACAAAATCGTGAAACTCAAAATTATGCTTATCATTTTGGATGTCATGTTGGCTTAGCTTGGCAGGCAGCTACAGAATTGCAGAGTTTGACGTCAGATAGCAAGGATCAGTTCTGTTTAGCTAGTGCTCCGGTGCTTTTCGCTTTAGAAGGAAATCCAAATTTGTATAAAGTAATAGACCAGGCGAAAAATGATGTTAAGGATGTAGATTATGAAGACTTAAAATTTAATATTTTGAAAACAGATGCTATGGAAAAAACCAAAATGCTGTACGAAGACCACGCGAAGAAGGCTACTGCGTATATTGAGAACATTGGACATAATGAGTCTGTTGAAATGATAAAAAAATTGATAAATACTTTTTAAACAGAGTCCTCCAACTAGAGCCTAAATAGAGTGTTGTTCCAATTACGCTAATAAATTTAGGCATATTCTTAAGTTAATCAAGTATATAGTCCCCTATCTATTGAACACTTTTGAAGTCTGTATGTGAAATGACTTTAGTTTTAATTATTTATATTTTTATTTAATTTATAGCTATATTCTATACCTATATTTACCATCTTAATTTATTCTAAAGTATTACTTTACATTCGTTTGTTAAAAATTCAGTATTTTATTTTTAGCTTTAATATTGTTACTTTAAGTTAATATAATAAGACTGATGGTATTGGGTTTATGCCTGTAACTATTTTCAATAAAGAATATGTTGTTGTATTTATTAAAGTAAAATTTTACACTGTTAAATTTTACGTTTTATTTTTAAATCTCTAAAATATAAATATTAAATTTCTTTAGTTTCGTTTAGTATTTTAAAGTTTTTGTGTGTGACAAAATTGAGGAGTAGAACCAGTACACGCTAGTAGCAAAATATTTCCCGATTATATAATAATTATTCGTCAACTAAACGTACAGGCGTTAGATATTTTATCTTAGTTAAAAACCTACAATTTTAAATTGTGTTAATATTGTTAATTTCATTAGATTACAGCCCTTAACAAGTCCACTGCTGAAGAAGGGCTCCCCCACGGAATGCTACAAAGTACGGTCTGGAGCTACCTGCATCCTTAGACTTCCTGCACTTTTTACCGGGTCATCAATCCTAACCATCTAATCTGGGGTCGCCTTACATTTCGTTTATCGGTACGAGAGTGCTACTCGAGATCCTTTCTTTTCCATCGGTTGTCGGTTCTTCGAGCTGATCATTGTGTTAATTACGAGTGTGCTAATATGCAGTCATGGTAACTTAACTCTTTGTTCAATGTCATACTAAAAGTGATAATTGAACATGTGGACATAATAAGACATGATATATATATATATATATATATATATATATATATATATATATATATATGTGTACATATATACATACATACATATGTCTCTGTGTGTGTGTGTGTATGTATGTGATTACTCTCACACATCATTATCATTACATACATCATTATATACAAAATACATCTAGTTGAAACTGGATGCATCTTTGATTAAATCTTTGATAAATAAAACATGTTACGTTATAAGGGAAAATCACATTAATTATGGGCTATTTTTGACTTTAACCCTTACCCTGTCCCTTGAACATTTCGATTGTACTATTCTGTTTATACCGCGGACAGGGAATCTGTGTTAAAGCGTGAACGATAATTTGATTTACTTTCATAAATATTTATTTTAGTTTCTCTGGTTCTACAGCGGATATCCTCATTACGAATTCTAGCACGCGGAGTAGCTCCTAGCATAAATATAGTCCACAGCTCGCTGAGCCCCCTCAAGCTTACTTATATGGCCAGCAGTGAAGAATCGTCCACAAGTCTCTCGTTAACAACGTTGTAAAGATTGAGAGTGTGTCGGCGAGGGTTGCGAACCTTATACTCAGAATCACCAAACGGTATTCGCTGAAGGTCATACAGGTTTACGAATAAACCTCGGCACACCCCGATGAGGAGGTGGAGGAAATGTATGAGGATATCTCCAGAGCCATACATTCCTCCAAAACCGGGGAAAAACCGTGTTAATGGGAGACTTCAATGCAAAACTAGGCACAAGAGAGAACGGTGAGCTGAAAGTAGGGAAATTTGGAATAGGGCAACGGAGCCCAAGGGGCCAGCAGCTGGCCGACTTCATGAAGAAAGAGGGACTCTTTATGATGAACTCTTTGTTCCAGAAGCAACCCCACAGGAAGTGGACCTGGTCGAGCCCCGACGGTTCGACAAAAATGAGATTAACTTCATTATGACGACCAAACGACAGCTGTTCAGTGATGTCTCCGTGATCGCGAGGGTAAAAACTGGTAGCGATCACCGAATGGTTAGAGGCACACTGAACCTAAACGTTAAGTTGGAGAGGTCTCGTCTAATGAAGTCAACGCTCCGTTCTCCTCGTGCTCTGTTCCAAAGTCCCGAAACCTTTGAAGTGGACGATATGAATGACAAGCTCGTGGAAACTGTCTATGCGGTCGGAGCTAATTTCTGCAAGACCTGCCGCAGAAGAACACAAAAACTCTACGATCACACTCTTCATCTCATGGCCGTTAGACGGGAGATGAAGCTACATTCTTCAACAGATTTGACAGCATACAGGCAACTGAACAGACAGATCTCCAAATGCGTGCGGTGGGACTTGCGCAACTTTAATACAGCTTGTATTGAAGAAGCGATCGAGCGGAACCAAGGCTCCAAAGTCTGTCCAACTGTCAAAGCTGAAGACAGAATGTGGCAGCATCGTTTCCGGGGCACCTGAGATTTTGAGTGAGATTGAGAGGTTCTATGGGCAACTGTACACGTCATCGTTGGAGCCACACGCGAGTGTGAGTAACGATCCAAGAGCGAGTCTTATCCGACACTATTCCGAAGATATCGCGGACGTCAGTCTGAGCAAGATTAGAATGGCTCTCCAGCACCTTAAAAACGGAAAGTCCCCGGGCGAGGATGGAATTACAGCGGAGCTTCTGAAAGCGGGTGGAAAACCGGTACTTGAAGTCCTTCAGAAGCTCTTTAATTCCGTCCTCCATGGTGGCACTACTCCGGAGGCGTGGAGCAGAAGTGCGGTGGTCTTGTTTTTCAAGAAAGGTGACAATGTTCTCTTGAAGAACTACAGACCGATTTCCCTTCTGAGCCGCGTCTATGTGCTGTTTTCGAGAGTCATTACGAATCGTCTCGCACGCAAACTTGATGACTTCCAGCCTCCTGAACAAGCGGGTTTCTGAAAAGGCTTTAGCACCATAGACCACATACACACCCTTCGGAAAATTATACAGAAGACAGAGGAGTATAATTTGCCACTTTGCCTTGCGTATGTGGACTATGAGAAAGCCTTTGATTCCGTCGAAATTTGGGCGGTACTGCAGTCCTTTCAGCGATGCCAAGTTGACTGTCGGTATATCGAGGTGCTGAAGTGTTTGTACAATAGAGCTACGATGGCTATCCGAGTTCAGAATCAGAGTACGAAACCTATCCAACTGCAGATAGGTGTAAGACAGGGTGACGTTATATCCCCGAAACTCTTCACCGCTGCATTGGAAGACGTTGCCGGATTGGAAAGGATGCAGTTTCAACATCAATGGCGAGTACAGCACTCACCTTCGATTTGCCGACGATATAGTACTTATAGCAGAATTGCTGGAGGACCTAAGCACTATGCTCAATGACCAGATGGACAAAACAAAAATCATGTTTAAAGATAAAGATAAAGATAAAGATCATTTTATTTGTTCAAACATGAGTATACATACATATGCATGCAAGATGTTAAAAGAAAATATCTCGACAGTCATGTTTAGCCTCTACGGCGTACAAATGTTAAAAAATAAATAAGAAAGTTACAATTTTAATTGGCCTTCGCCTTATTTAGTATTAATAAATTATACAATAAACATTAAAACATCAAACAAACATCATTAGAGAAGAGAATCTATATTTTTAAATATACTTGTACTTAAAAACATACCTTTATTTACCTAAATGATTGTACAATTCTTAGTGTTACATACTTACATTAGTCAATTTTGTATATTATTACTTTCGATTATTAGATATTATGAATTCTATTTATATAAAGACTGCTAATTGAACATATTATTATGTTCAATTAGCAGTAAGATAATGTGTAATAATTTATATAAATGTAGATATTATATGTCATAGCAGTTAGTGGTCAATGTTGTCTTGCAGAAAGTCATTAACGTCCATGTCACACCTATGCCGGTAGTTGTTGGGAGCACTAAGCTCGAAGTTGTTGACGAGTATGTTTACCTGGGACAACCGACTAGGTAAGTCCAACTTCGACCGAGAGGTCAATCAGCGGATTCAACACGGCTGGGCAGCGTTCGGGAAACTATGACACATCTTCTCGTCAGACATTCCTCAAAACCTTAAAACGAAATTATACAACCAGTGCGTGTTGCCAGTGATGACTTACGGATCTGAGATGTCGTCCTTCACTGCTGGCCATATGAGGAAGCTCAAGGTCGCTCAGCGAGCTATGGAGAGGGCTATGCTCGAGGTTTCTCTGCGTGATATACTTAGAAATGAGGATATCCGCAGTAGAACCAGAGTAACCGACATAGCCCAACGGATTAGTAAGCTGAAGTGGCAGTGGGCCGGCCATATAGCTCGAAGAACCGATAACCGATGGGGAAGAAAGGTTCTTGAGTGGCAGCCTCGTACCGGTAGCTGAAGTGTAGGGTGACCCCCCACGAGATGGAGTGACGACCTGGTAAGACATGCAGGAAGTCGCTGGATGCAGGTGGCTCAGGACCGTGATTTGTGGCATTCCTTGGGGGAGGCCTATGTTCAGCAGTGGACTTGTGAAAGGTTGTAATGATCATGAATGATGATGATGATAATGAAAGACCAGGTCTCAGAATCATATGTTATCACTGGTAATGTGTACACTTTTGTTTTAAAGCTTTAATATATGACGTGAAGATGTGCAGTAATCAGCTGAAAACTGTCCAGCCGGACTGGATCCTTCGAGTGACCTCTCGTAGTTATACCTGTCAATTTCGAGCTTAGTGTTCCCAACAACTACATAGATGTGGTGGCATGGACTTTATATATGACCTTTGCCTTGTCCATGTTAATCGTGAGATCTATCTGCTAAGAGGCACTATTAAAGACATTAAGCGTTGTGGTAAGGTTTTTCGGCGATTCTTTTATAATCTATTCTCCGCAAAGCGATGGTGAGTGATGTATTCGCTAGTATTACATTACATCTTCTCTTATTGATGTCGGTAATCGTAAAGTAAGGTAAATTAAGAATCTTAAAGGACACATATAATCAATGTTATTTTAAACACGATAAGCCTAGGCTAAGGTCTAAAAATTACAGTAGTATAGTCACACGTAATTAAATGTATATTT